GCCTGTGGGTCAGATCCCCAGAAACAAAAGTTCTCACTCAAATTGGTAAGTGGCCCTGAGGGGTGGGGGGCAGCGCCAAGAGAAGGGCCTGGGGCTTCGGCAAACACACCCTTGACTTCTGAGCCCCTCCTAGGTGAGAGAGTTCGGCCTGGGGGCCAGGGGCGGCCAGGGGGCAACCTCATCCCGTCTCAGAGCTCGGTTTCCTCATCTGTGGAATGGAGCCACTAATACCCGCATCAGGTGGCCACCTGCCCACCACTGCCTCCCTCTGCCCGTGGTCCGCAGCCTCATCGTCATCCCTGGGTGATTATGGGTGACTTTTATTTTCTTCTTGTCATTTATCCAAATTGTCTCATACCCCAGAAAACCCAGGACAGCCAGGTGGGGTGCCCTCTCTCAGCCCTAGACACAGGCCATGTGATGGATCAGAGTGTGGGCTCTGGGGCCAGGCTCACTGATGACAGGTAGCACCTGCTCTCGAGAGCCTGTCACGTGCCCGGCCCAGGCTAAGCCGTTCACGAACACTGCTTTGTTGAATCCTCTCGCCGGTTTAGCCACCGTGCCCCATTTCACTCTTTCCAGAAGGGTTCGGGTGGGGCCTGGCGCAGTAAGCACCCCACCAGTCTGCACTGTTCCTGTTACTGTTATTTTTACCATCCTCACCAGGGAAGCAGCAGTGGAGCCTTGCTCTCTGCTCATCCATGTGACCCAATCAGCATTTCCTGAGGCTCGGAGCTGGGGGATGCTGGGCTGTGAGCCTGCCCCAGGCCCGACCCTGGACGAGCTCCCAGTCTGGTGTCTGGGAGACACCATGTCACAGTCCCATCAGGTAGAGGGACATGCTTCCAGGGAGGGAGCATGGGGCACAGGGCCGTCCAGAGGACACTGAGAGCCTCCCCATCCTGGGCAGGCAGTTCTGTTCTGATGTTTTTGAAAGGGCAAGTGCTTAGTGCCCAGAGCGCTCATCCATTCATTTATTCATTTGTTCACCAAACCTTTCCTGCGGCTTCCCGTGAACTGAGTGCTGGGGACGTGTGCAGAGATGTCAGACCCGATTCCTGCCCTTCAGGAGCTGCCCTGGTGGGGGAGGGGGGCACAGGCATGAACGTACCCCATGGATTGATCAGGGCCCGAGAGACTGTGCTCCCGTCAGCTCCCAGTTACCCAGAGCTCACTGCGGCTTCACCTGCGTCACAGAGAGGACTCCAGGGCAGCAGGAGGATGGGCAGGGGCCGGGAGCCAGGCTCACTAATGACTAGTGGCACCTGCTGGCGGAGAGCCTGTGTGACAGACCCTGGGCTGAGAGTTTCACGAGCACTGTGAAGCCCGCGGGTGTTCTGTGAAGCTGCCGTGTTCCCATTTAACAGATGAGGAGATGGAGACTCGCTTGCTCAGGGGCACCCAGCGTGCATGTTGCTTTGTTCACCACCGTACCCACAATGCCCAGACGATACTCGGCACCTGGCGGAGGCTCTGTAGAAAGAAAGAATGAATGACAGCGCTGGGATTTGAACCTAGCTCTGTTTGACCTGCACTCGTGAGAACCCAGCTGCACTAGTTGTGTTTAATTAAAATATTTGGTTTGACTGTGATTTTTAAAAAGACCCAGTATTAATAACAATTAATAATGGCTTAAGCAAGATAATATTTTGTTGCTTTTTCACTTAAAAGTCTGGGGCAGTGGTCCAGGGATGATATGATGGTTTCATAAACAAGGGGCCCGGTTTCCTTCTCTCCTGTTGCTCCACCATCTTTAACTCATAACCTCCATCTTTTGGGCTGAGATGCTTCGGCTCCCACTGTCACCCCTGCGTTCTGGCCAACTGGGACAGGAGAAAAGAGGGAGAGCCTGTCCCAGCCGTTTAAGGGCATAACCTGGAAGTTGCCCACATTTCTTCTGCTCACGCCCCCTTGGCCAAGACTTGGTCGTGTCCTTCCTTACTGCAAAGAGGCTGAGAAATGTAGTTTTTAGCTGAAGGCCACATTCTAGGGAAAACTTGCGGATTCTATCATAAGAGAAAGAAAAGGAACCTGGGTGCTGGGAGGGAGCTCGCAGTCTCTGGTGTGTGTTCACGTGCAGCACCCTAGGAATTTGGTTCTGATGCGGGGGACCTGAGGAACTTGCTTGTCGCTGGCACTACCCTGGGGTGACAAATGGCCAGTGGGGATTGGGGGCCCTTGTCTAAGAGAGTTCAAGGTGACAGCCTTCCAGTCTTCCTGTCCCCTACCAGGATGCCAAGGATGGGCGCTTGTTCAACGAGCAGAACTTCTTCCAGCGGGCCGCCAAGCCTCTGCAAGGTATTCCACAGGGACGCGGGCAAGGGGGAGAGAGTC